TACAGTGAGGGGACTTTGCCTTATTCCTACAATTTGTGCGTTGCCCAAACCGGAAAGGCAGAGTTTAACTTCCTAAAATGTAATGAGCTCTTGCATTCCACTCAAGACATAGTTTGCGGTGATTCGTCTGGGGCCTTAATTCCACTTCAGGGTGGGCATGATTTGACTGCACATCCTGAGATGCTCACACCGGTGAGTTACATTTTTGTGTCTTCTGAAACATTCTATTGTTTTCTCTTATTTGAGGCATACTATTGTATTTTTTAATATGAGTCATATTTGGAAAATCCATAACTAATCACCTTGTCTCAGTATTTACTTTTTGCAAATTACATTTTTCAAGAGTTACTTGGTTTGTAAGTGCTCTATAATTCAGCAATAATGTCACTAAATTGGCGATATCTAGTCAAGCTGATTAGCAAAACAGGCGGTGGCTTCTTACTGAATAAATTAATAAGTAATTACTCAAGTTTGTTAAGATTTAAGATGAATTTTCCATATTCTACTTATATATTTTGAGTATAATAATATTAAGCCACTCATTAAATATTCAAGCAGGTGCTTGTTTCAAAGAAACATTTATTGTAAATAATATCCTGGCTATATTTAGGTATCTTCATTTATTCTAATAATTAAAATAACTAAGCATTTGAGGGGAGATGGTGAACAAATCGAAAAGTTTCTGAAATTCTATGCAAAGTTATAGAAATACGTATTTTCCTTGGGAGATGAGTCAAACTTGTTTTCCATTGCCAAGGTTTCTATGCTCCCCAGAACTTAGTAACTACCCTAGAGGATTTTTTCTCTTCAGCATTTGGTTCTTCTGGCTTTCTTCTTATGTTTATTTATCTTTTCTTGGAGCTCAAATTGTACTCTTTCCTAATCTTTTTTCCTCTACATTGAAAAAGAATGAATTTCTAAGAAAGCAAATGAACTGTCACTGCCTTTTGCACTCAGTCTCTGTCTCTAATTGTCTGATATAAAGTCTTTGAAGACAAAATATAAAATCTCTGAAAAGTTCCACACTTTGGAGGCATAGTGACATAAATGGTCCTGAACAACCTGTTCTCTGTATAAAAGATGTGAACCTCTAAACTCCTCACCTTTGGGGAGAGAACTTCTGCTGGGTTGATGGGCAGGTAGAATTGAAGATGTCTGAACCACTTCACTTTGGGCTTCCATACAAAGTGCCAGAAGAGATTGTTTGTATGGGCATCAATGCTCTGATGAAAACAGATCATTTGAGTAAATACTTACTTAAAAAAAAAAACACCCTACATCATTATTTTGTTTTTAAAAATTGTAGCTTGAAATTCTTATATTTTTCTTCCCATTACCACACAGACATGTTATACTCCTTTTAGTTTGTGGTTACTTCATTAATTTAAATAGGTCAAATTAACTTCTAATTATATATGCCTACAATAAAAAAAAACATTGTTTTCAAAACAGTTCATGGAGGCTCAATAAAACTATTTTAGAAAAGAATATTTTGAAAAATTTTTACACAATATTAATCATCAACAAATTTAATTAATTGGCCAATTAGTTAAAGCTAAAATAAAAATTATAAGTGAATATAGCTAGAAATGAGTATGTTTCTACTCAGAAAGTGTTACAAATATGTGTATTTGACCAGTTATTTTCATTTGATATTTTATAGTACTTTCCATTTATCCTACCCAATAAGCAATCTACAAGTAGTAGTTAACTTAAGGGATATCAGTTGAGAAGCCATAGAAATATTGTAAAGTAAAATGAAAGATCCAACAAAGAGTACCGTGTTTTCCATTGCACACATAGTGGGTGCAGTAACTTCTCAGGACTCTGAGCGCCGCTGTTCTCCCAGAGAAACGCAGCCAGTGCTCAATCCAGATTCTCAGGGCTCCGACTACGCGAAGCTCCTCAGTTCCTACAAACCAGTTCCAGGGTTGCAGTGAAACTCACTCCAGAATTTGAGGTGCGTAGGCTACAGAGGCTCCCAGCAGCCAGAGAAAGAAAAAGGAGTCGTTAAAACACACAACGTGCCCAGTGATTACTTGGCGAGAATTCCTTGACTAGACAACAATGGCTGCTAAAAGGAACCACTCCAACCGCAAAGCGCTGGTTTTGTTCTGTCTTTTCCTCGGTTTGTCATGGGAGGCTGAAGCCCGGCAGATCCGCTACTCCGTTCCTGAGGAGTTAGAGAAAGGCTCTTTCGTCGGCAACATCTCCAAGGACCTGGGGCTGGAGCCCTGGGAGCTGGCTGAGCCTGGAGTCCGCATCGTCTCCAGAGGTAGGACGCAGCTTTTCGCTCTGAACCCGAGAAGTGGCAGTTTGGTCACCGCAGGCAGGATAGACCGGGAGGAGCTCTGTGGTCAGAGTGCACGGTGTCTGGTGAATTTTAACATTCTTGTGGAAGATAGGGTGGAACTTTTTGGGATAGAAATAGAAATAACTGATGTCAACGATAATGCCCCAAAATTCCAAGCAGAAAATGTAGAGGTAAAAATTAATGAAAATGTCGCTCCAGGAATGCGTTTTCCTCTCCTGGAAGCTGTTGACCCAGACGTGGGTGTGAACTCCCTCCAGAGCTACCAGCTCAGCTCCAATAAGTACTTCTCATTAGCAGTTCAGAGTCATGCCAGTGGTGTCAAATACCCAGAGCTGGTACTGAAGCACGCCCTGGATCGTGAGGAAGAGGCACTACACCACCTGGTCCTCACTGCCTCCGATGGGGGTGACCCTCTCCTATCTGGTACAGTTCTCATCAGTGTGATCGTCTTTGATACAAATGACAATGCACCGGTCTTTACCTTGCCAGAATACCGAGTGAGTGTTCTGGAGAACTTGCCTGTGGGCACACAGCTGCTTACAGTCACTGCCACAGACAGGGATGAAGGAGCCAATGGAGAAGTCACATATTCATTCCGAAAATTTGTTCCTGACAAATTGTTGAAATTCCAACTAAACAAAAATACTGGGGAAATAAAATTATCAGAAAATCTAGACTATGAAGAAACAGATTTCTATGAATTAGAAATACAAGCAGAAGATGGAGGAGCATATCTTGCAATGGCAAAAGTATTGATTACAGTAGAAGATGTAAATGACAACAATCCAGAGGTGACCATCACATCTCTGTTTAGTCCCCTGATGGAAGACTCACCTCCGGGAACTATTATAGCCCTTTTAAATGTGCATGATCCAGACTCTGGGCAGAATGGACAGGTCACCTGTTCCATATCAGGCAATCTACCATTTAAGTTAGAGAAATCCATTGACGGTTATTATAGACTGGTGACACACAGAACCCTTGACAGGGAACAGGTATCCTCTTACAATATCACAGTGACAGCCACAGATGGAGGAAATCCACCCCTATTAACAGAAACTCACTTCACTGTGCAAGTGGCAGATATTAATGACAACCCACCCACTTTTTCCCACATCTCCTACTTCACCTATATCCCAGAGAACAACCCCAGAGGTGCCTCCATCTTGTCTGTGACTGCACTAGACCCAGACAGCAAAGAGAATGCTCAGGTTATTTACTCCCTAGCTGAAGACACTTTCCAGGAAGCACCTCTATCCTCCTACGTCTCCATAAACTCTGACACAGGAGTCCTGTATGCGTTGCGAACTTTCGACTATGAGCAATTTCATGATCTACAGATTCAGGTGATTGCCACTGACAGTGGGGACCCACCTCTCAGCAGCAATGTTTCTGTGAGCATATTTGTGCTGGACCAGAATGACAATGCACCAGAGATCCTGTACCCCACCCTACCCACTGACACTTCCACTGGAATGGAGCTGGCACCCCGTTCTTCAGAGTCCGGCTATTTGGTCACTAAGGTGGTGGCAGTGGACAAAGACTCAGGTCAGAATGCCCGACTGTCCTACCGCCTGCTCAAGGCCAGCGAACCAGGGCTCTTCGCAGTGGGGCTGCACACAGGCGAGGTGCGCACAGCACGGGCCCTGCTGGACAGAGATGTGCTCAAGCAGAGCCTGGTTGTGGCGGTGCAGGACCATGGCCAGCCCCCTCTCTCAGCCACCGTCACACTCACTGTGGCCATTGCTGACAGCATCCCAGATGTCCTGGCTGACCTGGGCAGTCTGGAAGTTCCACGTGACTCCGAAGCTTCAGGTCTAACGCTATATCTGGTCGTGGCGGTAGCCATAGTTTCCTGCATCTTCCTCGCTTTTGTCATCATGCTACTGGCTCTCAGGTTGAGGCGCTGGCACACATCGCACCAGCTCCAAGCTTCAGGAGGCGGGCTAGTGGGTGTGCCCACCTCCCCCTTTGTGGGCGTGGAAGGGGTGCGGGCTTTCCTGCAGACGTATTCCCATGAGGTCTCCCTCACAGCAGACTCACGGAAGAGTCACGCGATCTTCCCCGAGCCCAACTACGCCGACATGCTCATTAGCCATGAGAGCTTTGAGAAAAAGGATCCTTTGTCTTTGTTAGATGATTTGAAGTTACCTGTAGAAGATAACCCTTTGGTTCCAGTGAGTTCTGGTTTTACTCTTTTTCTTTTAAGAATTATAATTGGTTTTACTTTTAGGTTTGGCATAATGATAGAAAATTTTGGTCTTTATTTTTTTCACTGTTCCATTTCAATGATATTTGTTTCTTGCTAAAACATTGAAGAGTAGAATTTGATGGTTATTAAGACTGATATGTTTTTATTTTCTGGTAAATATTCACATAATTCCAATGAAGGCCTATGGTCACAAGGCTGTTACGATTTTGCAGAGCATTCTACTTTATAGTTTTGTTGAGTACAGTACTGACAGTTCCTGAGAGTACCTCCATAAGTGTCTGTCAATTTATGTACACTTCTCCTGGCCACATGCTAAAATCTTAGCCTCTTAGGCAACCTTAGCTCTTGTTTTGAAGGCAGGTCTGGTAAAATAGGTGAATATCAGAGACAAATCCATTAACTTCGCTGGAAACAGTGAACAGGTTCCTCAGTGTTGTTTTTCCCAACGAGAAAAGCAATACACCTTTGTGGTTTTATTTTTCAAAATATACCTTACGGTGACAATTACAGTTGAATATACTTCCTAGAAGGATTTAAGTTTTTCATTAATATTCTACTAACAATTGTTAACAATGTGTGCTTAAAATTTTCCAAGTGTAATCATAATTGGTAACAATACATTAGCATCCTTTTTTTAAAGTTTATTTTGAGAGAAAGCGCATGCATTGGAGGGGCAGAGAGAGAGGGAGAGAGAATCCCAAGCAGGCTCCATGCTGTCAGTGCAGAGCCCAACACAGAACACATGGGGCTCAGGCCCACGAACTGAAAGATCATGATCTGAGCCAAAATCAAAAGTCAGATGCTTAACGGACTGAGCTACCTAGGCACCCTGTAACAGTGTAGCATCCTTTTTGCTTGTGATTCTAATTTCATACTGTTATGTGGAAGACAGCATTTTAATTTGACTTTCCTTGCTCACTAGGGATGCTAAAGAACGTATAGAAGGTTAAAGTAAGCAAATTTTGGGTTATGCTGCCAGCATTTTTTGTTAAATTCTCCAAATAAGAAAAAACATTTGTACATGTGCCTAAGAACAGAAGCAAAAGATGAGTTCCAAGGGTATTTCAGTGGCTTTGTAACATAGAAGAAAGAAGATCCACCTGGATTTATGAAAATTCTGACGTTAAGAATCAAAATAAACTAGGTCAAGAAAGAAATGTCATTTCTGTGGGAGATCTGAATATATGCAGAGAAGTACACAGAAGTATTCTAAACAATCAGTAAGTAGAGTTACTGATGTGGCCATTTACTTTAGTGAAGATGGCGATGTATTTGGTTTGATATTGTACTTTTAACTTATTACTAGTATTCTTCCAAACCAATATGGTAGCATTCAGTCCAAGAATATCCTAATGTGTCTCAAAATATTTATGAGACTGATTTTTCTCATTGTCATCCAACATTTGCTCAACAATAGGTCTATGGAAAGAGAGCACATCCTTTAGGGTCATAGTTATTAACTTAAATCATTGAAAGTCATTTTAAATCTATCTTTGGGAGTCAAAATTATTACGCATCTATATCTAAATAATTCTGTTCTGAAAAATACAGGGTTTTTAAAAAACTACTCTTTCGGCGTGGTAATTGTTGTGACCAAATCATGTTAATTATTATTTGAAAACAGCACAGAACACCCTAGATGAATGTAATGACTATGGGAATGACAGCCTTCTAATTTCTAAATATGGGAGATGGACTAATGCTTTCTAGCCAAATGTAAGCTACGATTGAAGACAAAAAGATTTTTGCTTATTTTCAGTACTTACCTTTGTGGATAATTACTTTTAAAAGGAACAACAGTGATTACCTCTGGATGCAAGAACTGAATAGCAATGGGCCATGGGATGGAAGAGCTACTTTACACTCTATATTCTTTTGTGCTTTTTTGAATTTTGAAAGAAGTACTTTACTTATTCAAAGTCTATGTAAATTTTTAACATATACAACATATTATAATTTTTACCATATGAAACACGTTTCATGATGAGAATGAAAACATTGAGAAATAAGATTTAGGATATTAGCTGTTATCATCTTACATTTTAACAAGATTTCCTGAAAGAGAAAAACTAGATTGCGGTTCCACACAAAGCCTCTGGGCGCCGCTGTCGGCCAGTACAGGGCAAGTGCTGTCGCCCGGGATTCTTCAGCCTCTAGCCTGGATGTTCCTGCGCAGTCAACAACACAGAGTGAAGCAACCCCATACACACAGGGGCTTCTGGCCACGCCGACTCTCCCCAGCACACACAGATTCCCAGTCCCAAGACTGGAGGCTCTGTATGTTCTGGGCCTAATGCTACCAGTGCGGTAGCGGGCACTTTTTCTAGCTAGAAAGACTGGGACCCAGCGAGAACTAGAGCGCGCAATGGGAGGGAGCTGCGTTCAGAGGCGCCCGGCCGGCAGGCGGCAGGTACTGTTTCCCTTCCTGCTACCTTTGTTCTACCCCGCGGTCTGCGAGCCGATCCGCTACTCGATTCCCGAGGAACTGGCCAAGGGCTCGGTGGTGGGGAACCTCGCCAAGGATCTCGGGCTCAGTGTCCTGGACGTGTCAGCTAGGAAGCTGCGAGTCAGCACGGAGAAGCTGCTTTTCAACGTAGACGCAGAGAGTGGGGACTTACTAGTGAAGGACCGAATAGACCGGGAGCAGATATGCAAAGAGAGAAGAAGATGTGAGTTGCAGTTGGAAGCCGTGGTGGAAAATCCTTTAAATATCTTTCATATCATTGTGGTTGTTGAGGATATTAATGACCATGCCCCTCAGTTCCATAAAGATGAAATAAACTTAGAAATCAGTGAATCTGTCACTCCAGGGATGGGAACAATTCTTGAGTCTGCAAAAGATCCTGATATTAGTACGAATTCACTGAGCAAATACCAGTTAAGCCCTAATGAGTACTTCTCCTTGGTGGTGAAAGACAATCCCGATGGTGGCAAATATCCAGAATTAGTACTGAAGAAGACCCTGGACCGGGAAACACAAAGCTCTCATCATCTGGTGCTGACAGCATTTGACAATGGAAATCCACCACGAAGCAGCACAGCTCAGATCCGAATCCTGGTGGTGGATGCCAATGATAACCCCCCGGTGTTCAGCCAAGATATGTATAGGGTCAGTCTTCGTGAAGGTGTACCCCCAGGCACCTCAGTGGTGCAGGTGAGTGCCACTGACCAAGACGAAGGCTTCAACGCGGAGATCACCTACTCATTCCTTGGTATGGCTAATAAAGCCCAGCATGTGTTCTCTCTGGATTCTGCCACAGGAAACATTATAACTCAGCAACCCTTGGATTTCGAAGAAGTAGAAAGATATACCATGGATGTAGAAGCGAAGGACCGAGGATCCCTCTCTACCCAGTGTAAAGTAATCATAGAAGTTCTAGATGAAAACGACAACATCCCTGAAATAATCATTACTTCTCTCTCTGATCAAATTTTGGAGGATTCCCATCCAGGAATGGTTGTTGTTCTCTTCAAAACACAGGACCAGGATTCTGGGGAAAACGGAGAAGTCATTTGTAACTTAAGTAGAGATATTCCATTTAAGATTCATTCTTCATCTAATAATTACTACAAGCTGGTAACAGATGGACCCCTAGACCGAGAACAGACTCCGGAATACAACGTCAC